GTGGATCATTTTGCAATTTTCCTTTTTGAGGAACAGTGATTATTAAACTCCAGCTTGGAATTGATGTCATTATATACAGTGAAGTTTTGGCTTCACTTTATCTTAGATGTAATGCGCTTGAATGTATAATTTGCGAGGCATGTATTCAGCTGTTTGAGTACTTCCAACTTCACGTGATTCAACATGCGTTTAAAAACATTTCGGTTTATAGAAAGAATGAAATTTCCCATCTATTTTGATGGGTTACTTACTTATTTTCAGTGATCTCAAATTGTGCTTCACATTGAAGCTAGATTTAATTTTAACCTCATAACGAGCCTTTGAATAAATAGTTATTTCTCATTGTTGGAGCATGTTTGGACAAATCTTGTCAGATTATAAAGTTTTAAACAGTTCCTTTTGGGAACAAGTTTGTTACTCATTCCTTTCATAAAGGCATGTGTTGTGATGAAAACGGTTAGGTTTTCAATGACTCACTTGTATTGTATCAATATACATGTGTATTTGACATTGCACGTGTAATGTGCAACACATCTGTTTTCTCATTAGAGATCTAATACATTTAATTGCTCTTCAATCATCTTTTGCTTTTCACTGGTATTGAAAGTTATGAGCAGAACAGGTTTAACACAATAAATGTTTAATAAGTAATACCGGTTACAACATGTTAAAACAAGTTGGATTAAATAACAAAAACGCCTTTACGAAAGGCATGGTTAAATTCGAGACTAAAACTCAAATGACATGATTTTCTCGTTAAGTTATGCTTGCCATAGCCTACACTGTAGACAATTCTCTAACTAGATTAAATCGAAAAGAACATGCAAATGTTACATTAAAAAGTGAATTCGCCTAAACAAACGTTATGTCAAGCAGATAGTCTCTACATTAATTGTTCTTCCTTGGTCTCCATAATGGCACTCTTGACGATGATCGTTCTGGTGAACTGAAGTGCATCTGATTGGTCCTTTGTAGTGCGCGTGCAGAGACACGTGACGCAGCGTCTCCTGTAAGCACTGCGAGAATCCGCGCGCGTAGCTGGATTTGGCGCGTCTTTTAAAAAAAAAATCAACGGTCATCTCCAGAATATCGGCTTTGTCAAGTCTAACAAACTGCCGCTCGGACATTGGTGTAGTTTTGTGAAATAACTCTCTCAGATTTTCGATACTGCGGTTGATTCTGTCTCTCCGTGTTTTTCCCCGCTAGAATCTTTCGAAACTGCGTAGAAAGAAGAGAAAAACGGTAAGTTTGACAGTGAGTTATGGGTTAAAATAGAGACCAGAAAGGTCATATTACACTTACTTTGTGGTTCTCAGGACATGATATGCTCTCACGGCGTTGGTATTGACTGACCGGTGCCATTTTGTGATGATTTAATGAAAAAGTGTGTAAAATCCTCCCCTTATCATGAAGTCTGAGGTAAGAGTTATTTCACACCGCCAGCCAATCAGAGACGCGCGCGAGCCGCGGGCTTTAACGTGGAGACGGCGGTTTCACGGCGCACGGGCTTCCTTCCTCTCCCGCTGTGGGAAAACCTGTTTTTATACAGTCTGTGGGGAAAACACTCAGTCACGGGCCACTGAAGTGTGCCTGACACCCGCTTAGAAGTCCAGTAGTGCTGACAAGACCAACAAGTCGGTGTGAGGCAATAAAACGCCTCGCACACGCTTCAGACAGAGAGTCTTTGATCCTGAGGTGTTATGGCTCCGCCCGGCCTCAGGCTACAGGTTACTGCGCTGATCTGTGTTATAGACGAATGCTGATTTTTCAAAGTGAATTTTGGATGTGATTTTAACAATCTGCTCACGCTTGAGTTCATTTAATGTTTACATTTCTTTTTAGCTGATTATCTGAAAAAGTTTCAAATTCCACATTTCAGTTTGACTTGAAGAGAATTTGGTCTTCCTGATAGAAATCATTGAAATAATCTGATTAACTGCCACATCAAAACATTAATTAGTAACAGACGTTATTTATTTATTTAGCATTATTGTTGTTGTTTATTTATTAATATATTTAATACATAATCTACATTGACTTGGGGAATAGTATAATAGCTCCTGAAATAATATGAATATTTCTTCTTTTTCTTTTTTTATTAGTTTCACTAAAAATGAAAAAATGAATATTATGAATATTTACAAAAATATTACAATTATTAATATGTTTTGAAAAAGGTTTTTAACAAAGTATAGATCCATATTTAGTCTTAAGGTTTTTAGAAAAAAATGAAACTTAAACATCTTATTTTTACTTTTGAATGACCTGGCTTTTTGAAAAACCATGTGCTCTCGCCGTGATTATGGCCAGAAGCTGACATGGTGGAAGGAGAATATTTAATTCCCAGCACTGGATTGTGTTAGTCAAGAAAATGTTTACATCACGTGTAGATAAAAAAAGTGCATGCAAATCTTTAGTTTCATCACATTTATATCATTAAACACTTAGTTTGGTTATTGAACGACTGATTGACCTATTGATTTATTGGAACTAGATAAGGTAAATGCAAGTCCTGTGGGATTTGTACTGCCAGTGTTTGATTTGATTTGTGGAGGACGCCTCACCCATTGGCCTCCGAGTGTGGGAAAGCTAATCCTGACTGGGACTCATGGCTTTGTAATGCTAATGAGCTCCTATAAATAGAGGAGCACGACCCTCATTCCCAACACAACTGACTCGCTCTCCTCAGAGAAAGTTCTCTCCATCTGAAAGAATGGCTCCAACCTACAAGACTGACTACTCTAAACTTTCCAACAAGGAAAAGCATAAAGTAAGTATTTTTGACACTTGAAATGCAGTTGTTTCTCAACATCTCTCTTTTGTTCTGCTATGAATTTTGAAGCAAACAACTAACCGATTGTCTCCTTCCTCAACAGTTGAGAAAACCAGTGGTGGAAAAGATGCGCCGAGATCGCATCAACAGCTGCATCGAGCAGCTCAAATCCATGCTGGAGAAGGAATTCCACCAGCAGGATCCAAACACCAAGCTGGAGAAAGCTGACATCCTGGAGATGACGGTGGTTTTTCTGAAACAGCAGCTGCAGCCCAAGACCTCAGCTCCACAGAAAGCCCACTTTGACGGCTATTCCCAGTGTTGGAGGGAGACCGTGAGCTTCTTATCTGGAAACACCAAGGTGGACGCTGTACGTCAGCATCTGAACCACTGCCAAGAATCCCAGAGATCATCTAAAGACCTCACTCACGTGTCTCCAGCTTCCCATCAGCCCAGCAAGGTGAAGCAGGAACCATGTGCTCACAGACCTCTCTGGAGACCCTGGTAGACGATGAAAGACTTCCACAGAAAAACTAGATGGTGGTTTTACCATCTCTTATGTTGTAGGAGATACACATTTCCAATAATATAATCACCTGTGGTTTTTATTTCCATCCATAAACTAAGTAGAAGTGCCATAAAAAGATATTCTTTTAAGAAATTAAGTGAAAGTGACGTACAACTCACAATTCTGAGCACAACTCAGAATTTGTGCTCTGCATTTAACCCATCCAAGTGCGCAAACACACACAGTAGTGAACACACACACACCCCCAGAGCAGTGGGCAGCCAATTATGGGTTCGGTGCCTTGCTCACGGGTCTCACTTCAGTCGTGGTATTGAAGGTAAAGAGAGCGCTCTTCACTCCCCCCACTGACAAACTCTGCTGGAACTGAGACTCGATGAACCCATGAACTTTGGGTTACAAGTCTGACTCTCTATCCATTAGGCCACGACTGCCCCCAGTTTTAACTTAACATAATTAACTTAGAGAAGGAGTTAAAGTTCTTTATATTTTAGAAACTGTTTTCCACAGTGTGGAAATGTGGCTTCAGAACAATTGACATATACTAAAAACAAGACAAACATTAAAAAACAAGAAGATACAGTATAATTAAAACCATGAAAAAGAATAAAAAAATACAAAAAAATGAAAAATAACCATGAGATATGCATTAATTAATATTCCATTTAAAATACTTAATTTAAATAAAATTCTTTTAAGTGTACAATGAAAAGCAGTTGGTGCACAATTTTCACTCAGAAACTGCTAGTAGATTTCACAATTAATTTACAAAGAAAAAGAATTAAGCATGAATTTTTGAAGTAGAAAGACTGAAATAGTATTTCCTTACAAAAAGTAGTCCAATTATGTTTTTTTTACAACTTTGAAGTCATTTTATTTTACAGTGTATAAAATAACACATAAATTATAAGAATAAAGAAATAAATAACAATAAAAAATAAAATGTTTTTTTAAAACTTTGAGGTCATTTTTACAATTTTTTTACAGTGTATAAAACAACATACATAAATTATAAGAATAAAGAAATAAATAACAATACAAAATAATAAAATAAAATGTTATATCTATACAGTTTATTCAGTTAAATGACTATTCTTATGAACTTTTGTAACTGATGTAATTTCCTTCTATGTAATTTGATCATTTTTACATTTACATGCAGTTATACTTCAATCTGACAAAAAAAAATATTTCACCTAATTCATAACAATTATTTACTGAGATTTGAGGTTGGGTAAAAGTATTTCAAAAGTATTTCAAGTGCTGACACACTTTTCACGCCGCATGCACTGAAGGTGACACGCATTTTATGGGACTTTAGGGCAAATACAGTAGACGTCAGGATGGCCATGTGCCTCTGCTGAATTTACAGGAGCGGGAAGCCTTTGGTTTCTGGGTGTGAGGCAGTACACACTGAACAACTTACACTGAACACACACACACACACACACACGTATAGACACAAAAAGTGGCTTTCAGGATCCCCCTCCTCCTCCTCTCATCCTTTCCAGGTCCAAGCTGCTGATGTTATCAAGTGTTACAGAAAGCTATGTGATTGGCCCGTGAGTGTGGGAAAGCATCAGACGCTTCAGACCCATGCAGACAAAGCATTGTAAATGGAACGTGCTTGTGTGTCATCAGTCCCAACTCCAGCATTACGGTTCATTACGAGTGATTTCATAATAATAAAAATACCCTGGTGGGCTAACCTCTAATTTCTTTATCTTTTTTTTAATGACACAAAATGTTGTCACAGAAATGTTATATTATAATCTAAAACAATATGTTGAATAAAAATGCATGGTTATTGCATAAATAAAAGTTGTACTCTTTTAAACTGAAAACACTTTAAATACTTAAAACTGTTTATAAGTTTGGAGGTCAGCAACTCCAAAAATTGTTACCAAATTAGACTTTCGACATGAAACTGAACAGTTATTTAATATTTAATCTAAGTTAAAGTTAAACTCAGAATACCTCAGAGTTAATGAGTGTTATTTTAGTATCATTGAGATGCTTAATATTTTGAATTATATAATTAAATTATTATTTTTGTATTTTGCATTGTATTTTTTTATTTTGATTTTAGTTAAATACATTTTGTGTCTTGTTTTTATTATTTCTTTTAATGTCTATATTGTTTTATTAATTATATTTTAGTTTAAGGTTATTTTAGTACATCAAGTTCATTTCAGTGTTGCTTTGGCAAATAGCTAAAATTACATTTCAAAAACATTTGTATGTTTTTAGTTCATATTTATTTCAAGTAGCAACTTTTTAATTTTTTTAACTTTATATAATAACCCATGATGCACAATAATTTGCATATTAAATATATTTTAAACATGCCACTAAAACATGTTCAGGAATTTGCAAACGTACCTGAACATATAAGTGATCCTAACTATTCATCATGTAAGCTCGATTATGTACATAATTTATTCAGCGGTTTGCAACTATATCCTAAAAAAAATATCTAATGCATCCACATATTTGCATTCCTACCATTTGTTTTGTACTGAACAGAACTGTATGCTATGTTTTTAGTGTACAGTCAGTGTTTATGTGGTGACTTCATTGCTATTTATTAAGTACAATATATAGAGTATACATCAATGAAAGAATGATTTCAAATGATTTTTTAATAATTAGTTGCTTTTATTAAATGCAATGACAGACACACAGTGTCCACAAATTTTCAGCGCACAAGAATGCCATCATAAGAACAAATATTGTTTTTCTTTAGCCTTTACAAAAGGCTGTATCAAATCAACATCCATCAGGACCTTACAAAGAGCTCAGATTCTGAGCAATATCACTGTTTGCAAGCCAAACAACATTAGGATGGGGAAACAAGCCTCTAGACCAACACAAGGCAAATGTCTTATAAATCTTATCAAGAATAAAACAATTGAAACTTCAATATGAAGCAGTTGAAATAAACATAGAAATGGAAATGTGTATCTCCTACAACATAAGAGATGGTAAAACCACCATCTAGTTTTTCTGTGGAAGTATTTCATCGTCTACCAGGGTCTCCAGAGAGGTCTGTGAGCACATGGTTCCTGCTTCACCTTGCTGGGCTGATGGGAAGCTGGAGACACGTGAGTGAGGTCTTTAGATGATCTCTGGGCTTCTTGGCAGTGGTTCAGATGCTGACGTACAGCGTCCACCTTGGTGTTTCCAGATAAGAAGCTCACGGTCTCCCTCCAACACTGGAATACCTCAGAGTTAATGAGTGTTATTTTAGTATCATTGAGATGCTTAATATTTTGAATTATATAATTAAATTATTATTTTTGTATTTTGCATTGTATTTTTTTATTTTGATTTTAGTTAAATACATTTTGTGTCTTGTTTTTATTATTTCTTTTAATGTCTATATTGTTTTATTAATTATATTTTAGTTTAAGGTTATTTTAGTACATCAAGTTCATTTCAGTGTTGCTTTGGCAAATAGCTAAAATTACATTTCAAAAACATTTGTATGTTTTTAGTTCATATTTATTTCAAGTAGCAACTTTTAAATTTTTTAACTTTATATAATAACCCATGATGCACAATAATTTGCATATTAAATATATTTTAAACATGCCACTAAAACATGTTCAGGAATTTGCTAACGTACCTGAACATATAAGTGATCCTAACTATTCATCATGTAAGCTCGATTATGTACATAATTTATTCAGCGGTTTGCAACTATATCCTAAAAAAAATATCTAATGCATCCACATATTTGCATTCCTACCATTTGTTTTGTACTGAACAGAACTGTATGCTATGTTTTTAGTGTACAGTCAGTGTTTATGTGGTGACTTCATTGCTATTTATTAAGTACAATATATAGAGTATACATCAATGAAAGAATGATTTCAAATGATTTTTTAATAATTAGTTGCTTTTATTAAATGCAATGACAGACACACAGTGTCCACAAATTTTCAGCGCACAAGAATGCCATCATAAGAACAAATATTGTTTTTCTTTAGCCTTTACAAAAGGCTGTATCAAATCAACATCCATCAGGACCTTACAAAGAGCTCAGATTCTGAGCAATATCACTGTTTGCAAGCCAAACAACATTAGGATGGGGAAACAAGCCTCTAGACCAACACAAGGCAAATGTCTTATAAATCTTATCAAGAATAAAACAATTGAAACTTCAATATGAAGCAGTTGAAATAAACATAGAAATGGAAATGTGTATCTCCTACAACATAAGAGATGGTAAAACCACCATCTAGTTTTTCTGTGGAAGTCTTTCATCGTCTACCAGGGTCTCCAGAGAGGTCTGTGAGCACATGGTTCCTGCTTCACCTTGCTGGGCTGATGGGAAGCTGGAGACACGTGAGTGAGGTCTTTAGATGATCTCTGGGATTCTTGGCAGTGGTTCAGATGCTGACGTACAGCGTCCACCTTGGTGTTTCCAGATAAGAAGCTCACGGTCTCCCTCCAACACTGGGAATAGCCGTCAAAGTGGGCTTTCTGTGGAGCTGAGGTCTTGGGCTGCAGCTGCTGTTTCAGAAAAACCACCGTCATCTCCAGGATGTCAGCTTTCTCCAGCTTGGTGTTTGGATCCTGCTGGTGGAATTCCTTCTCCAGCATGGATTTGAGCTGCTCGATGCAGCTGTTGATGCGATCTCGGCGCATCTTTTCCACCACTGGTTTTCTCAACTGTTGAGGAAGGAGACAATCGGTTAGTTGTTTGCTTCAAAATTCATAGCAGAACAAAAGAGAGATGTTGAGAAACAACTGCATTTCAAGTGTCAAAAATACTTACTTTATGCTTTTCCTTGTTGGAAAGTTTAGAGTAGTCAGTCTTGTAGGTTGGAGCCATTCTTTCAGATGGAGAGAACTTTCTCTGAGGAGAGCGAGTCAGTTGTGTTGGGAATGAGGGTCGTGCTCCTCTATTTATAGGAGCTCATTAGCATTACAAAGCCATGAGTCCCAGTCAGGATTAGCTTTCCCACACTCGGAGGCCAATGGGTGAGGCGTCCTCCACAATAGAAGAGGCATCAATTATTTCATGGTTAACTGGCCTCGGGGCTCCCACGGAGGGAATGGTCTTCCACACACCCAACGTAACACAGGCAGGTTGCTGTACTTTTATTACCTGGGAACATCAGCGCTCGCTGATAAGGCTTCTGCAGACGGAGACTGTAGACATATGATCATTTCCCAAGGGATGCAAAGGAGATAGATAAGATGTCGCACACCTTATCAGGCAGAGACATGGATCTTGTAACAGCTGGCTGGAAGAAAAAAATATTTTTTTGCAGAAATGCTAATGGGTAAATTATAGATGTGATAGTAAAATTAGCAAAAATATATATACGAGGATAAAATATTGAATTGTATTTTAATATTATATACATGGACACTTATTTACATATGCACGTAATTTTATAATAAATAAAAAAAAATACAAAAATGATTTACTGTCAATGTGAACTGTAAACGTTATAATAGCTCTATTTATAATTATTATAAAGTAAAAAAAATATATAAATATATTACAATACAAAATACAAATACAAATACAAAATACAAATAAAAATGATAAATCTTCATAGGAGATCCTGTACAACAGCTGGCTGGAAGAAAAAGTATTTTTTTTATCTTTAAAAAAAATTAAGTTGTAAATAAACAAAGATTATTGGAGGATGTTTTACAAGAAAATACTATTTTAGTTTTCTACTTCGTTTCATATTTAATCCATTGTGTTAGGTTTCTTTGCAATTAATTTACTAGACATTTGAGTAGAAGTTGTTTCAAAGTAAATCCTGCATTTTTTTTTCAGTGTAGAACCTGAAAATATTTACTTGTATTTTTTTTTTTTTTTAGTATTATAATTGTTTTATTTACAACTTTTTTACAGTGTAAAAAATATTCATATGTTTGACTGATTAATTTAGTGAGACTTTCTGTAAGAAATATAGTAACGCCAACAGGTTATCAAGTGAGACAAGTTTTGTTTATTTTTTATTTAGTTGTATTTTAATATTATATACATATATGCACATTTATATACAAATGCACAATATTTTATACATTAGAAAATGTATAAAAAATAATAATTTAAATGTAATAAATATAAATTATTAAACTGAGTATAATAGATTAATTATATTGTTTATAATTAATGTGTCATTTATGTTGTTTAATTTTAAGTATCTATTATATATATATATATATATATATATATATATATATATATATATATA